CACAGGTAAGAAATGGGCTGATTTGGTCAACCGATCAACGATCACCCAAACGGCATCATGTCCTTTTTGAGTTCTTGGCAGTCCAGAAACAAAGTCCATCGTGATATTTTCCCACTTCCATTCAGGTATCTCAAGAGGTTGTAACAGTCCGGAGGGTTTTTGGTGTTCAGCCTTGACTTGCTGGCAAATCAGACAGGTTTGGACATATTGAGCAATCTCTCTTTTCATCTTATCCCACCAGTACAACCGTCGCAGGTCTTGGTACATCTTATTACTACCAGGATGGATCGTGTAGTCTCAATGTGCAAAAGTTATTTTTACTACTCAGACAGGTTTTGTAGTCTCAATGTGCAAAAGTTATTTTTAAGTTTCTAACAATGTGCTATTTATATGAGTTCAGAAAAGTTCTCATTATAACTTCCAACAGATAGAAAGTAGCTGAATAGTCAACTAGACGTTGGGGGTGTCGGACGTCCAATACAGCAAATTTTCGCGTCTGACAGTGGGCAGTGAGTTTGAGGAAATTTCTATAATTCTTTCGGACATCCGGTGTCTCTGATGCATGCGTTCGAAACCAAATGATAAATATGAGAAATTTTCTTCAGTTCTTTCGGACGTCCGGTACCTCCAATGCTTTGCATCCAAAGTGCCGCATTGATTATTGGACGTCTGGTGCTCTAATGTTTTGCGTCCGACGAAGTCAGTGAGCTGGAAGAAATGACTTAATTCCTTCAGACGTTCGGTGATGGAGTTCTTCATGCATCCGAAATTGTGCAATATTTATCAGACGTCCAGTCCTGTCCTTACAAGTGTCCGACAGCTTTCAGCAACCTTTGACTCTTTCAATTTGCACTTGATCTTTGAATCTGATTTGCTTCATAGCTAAAAGTATTCCTTGAAGAGATATTAGTATCATCCATTTGTTTTGTAATCATTAAAAGCTTGGGACTAAGATTCACAAATTACTTGTACTGATGAGAATTGTGTTAGGGAAAAAGGGAACCATGTTAGAGGGTTGAGTTGATCCAATTACTTGTACTACTCTCACCAGTTGATTTTGGAAGTTAGGTGTGTGGCTATAGCAGAGGAATTTCTTCATGAATTGGTCAAGAACCTATGCAGCACTAATTCATTGATATTCTAAAAATCGGTGTTTGGAGGGGCATTTGAATTGTGAAAGTTGTTTGGAAAAATTTTGCCGAACATGTTTGTTCGTCCATGAAACTCGTCAGTTATTTTTTGTAGAACCAAGAATATATAAATCAACTTACAATGCAACGTGTTTATCAATGGACTAATTCCAGTTTGCTTAGTTATGATTCATGATTGATAGGTATTGCAAGTAAAGAAACATGGAAAAGACCCTTAGAATCTTCACTGATAGGCATTGATGGGTATTGCAAGCAAAGAAACATGGAAAATACTGTTAGAATCTTCAATGATATGAGAAAGGTAGAGATAAATCCCAATTTGGTTATTTATAAATCAATATTGGATGGTCCATACTAAGATCAATCTGTAAATGCAAGGATACTATTTCTTTGCATTTGCGGGAATAGGGATAATACAATGCAATGAATCTGGGTATGATATATTTCTCCAGGTTGTCCCTAGCTATTGTTTAGTACTTCCTAAGTAATTCTCCTATTAACGCATTCCCACAAATGTATAAGAAATTTGCAACAAGTTCAAGAAAAAATCCAGGCATTTCATAGCAAACTCAAAAAGAAATTTGGACATCCTCATGCGATTCAAATGGTAGTTAAGGTCCAACTAGTTATTAAGGTTATAAGATAAAATATACTACACATTGTATGTCTTGAGCTTACTATAATTTGTTCAAGTCCTTTTCAGAGAATGCTTGAAAAAAGAGTAGGAAAAGTTCATTGTCATCGACTAATGGTCTATACTTTTCATTTGTCTTTGCACCAAAACAGAGATACAAAGAAAAATATGATGATCATGATCTATGTGCTACACACAAAAAATGTTGCAAAGAGTGCAAGAAGTTTAAGAAGACATGTTCTATTGGAACTATTACTAAAAGAAACAACACTTATCAATATGATAGTTTTGACTACAATTGCTAGAAGCATATGTGTTTTACTATACTGTGAATAATTCTCAATTTCTTGACATTTTTTATTCTATAGACATGTGATGATTGTTCTTTTAAATTATTGACACCACCATTGTATTTATTCACAATAGGTTTCAAGAAGACTTTTACTTGTTTAAATTTATTTTCATTTTTAACTAGATAGAAATAGTGTGAGCATAATTTTAAAAGTGATTAGTATCACCATATTTGTGATATTTGTATGTACTTGCACATTTCAAATGAATGCACCATTTGTTTATAGTATTAAGAATTTGCAAAGATCTTAAGCCAATAACTGACTATCTAGACAAAAATACAAACCAAATGAATAAACGAATAATGACAATAACCAATTTACCTAAAGTCAAATTCCCCTCAGTTACTAGTACCCATCATGTATTTAATATATAACCATTTTATATTAATTCACTTGCCTTCATTTGATCTTGTTTAACACAGACCCAAGGCATTCTCACACATCGCGTGAGGCTAAAAAAACTAGTTTAAGTTAAAATGGTCATTTTGGACTTAGTTCTCGAATCCATTGGATAATGTTTGGTTGTAAGAAAAGTGGAGGAAAATCTTAACAATATTTTTTTGAATTAGGAAAATCTTTTTTGAATTACAATGGGAAAATTTTAATGGATAAATTTTTTTGGATAACAATATTTTTTGAATTATGATAATACTGTTGAATATTGTGTCCTATCATAACTCTCTTTTTTGTTTGTTAGATGGTCAAAAAATTTTATACTTAAAACTGTTAATAAAATCTCTCCTTAAATCTTTTTATCCATTTCAATCATCTATATATAACACTAATTAAAAGGCATGGAAACACCATCATAATAAAATCCTTCTTCTTTGCTCCTTTCAAAAAATATCTTTCTTTTTCTTCTCTTCATCTTCATATCGATAAAAATTTTGGTAAGTTATAGTTTCATTTTTTTATTTATATGATTTTATAAACAACTGTAAGAATAAGTGATAAGGATCAAAGAGCTTCATCCTCAAACACAACTGATAAGGATGAAACTCGTCGTATGAAAAATGCCAAAACCTATATTCAGACCATGAGGGTATTGCATTAAGTGTTAAGCAAATGGTAGAAACAATCGATAGAAAAAATGAACTAACATTTATCAATCCATCTACTTTGCTTAAGAATATAAAAGCAGTTGAAGGTTTGAAAGAAAATTGTATTTACAATGTTTTTGAGAGTCTTGTGGCATTTTTGACTTCCTTACCGATAAGAAAATTATATATTTAAAAACATTGTAACATTGGCGGCTCGAGTGGGTTGATGATGATGACTATATTGAAGATTTTTTAAAATGTCCTATGCAAACTTGAGTCTCATTAGAATAGTAGTTAATAAGAATTTCTAGTTTGTCGATGACAATGCATTTTTATGTTTTCTTTATTTTCATTGTATGATGCTGAATAAAATGCTTAGATGTAATAGTATAAAAGTTCATGTTGTTAGTTTCCATTTATTTTGATGAAATCAATTTTTACTTTTGATTTATATATATATATATATATAGTTAATAAGAATTTCTAGTTTGTCGATGACAATGCATTTTTATGTTTTCTTTGTTTTCATTGTATGATGCTGAATAAAATGCTTAGATGCAATAGTATAAAAGTTCATGTTGTTAGTTTCCATTTATTTTGATGAAATCAATATTTACTTTTGATATATATATATATATATATACACACACACACACATACACACACATGCTAAAATCCTAACCTATTATTCTGCAACTTTCCTATTAATCAAACACAACAATTTAAATTTTTCTGCAACCAAACATGGGCAGGATACTCTTAATTTCATTTTTCTTTATCTCGTTTCACTCCACTTTTCTCACGATGCACTTTCTTGCACGACTTTGTGATCAAACAAACAGAGCCTTGGGTTTCTTTAGATTTCCTGCTAGTTTTCGGTCTGCAAGTTCAATAGCCATTTTTCCCCGGTTGCAACTGGTCAGACTAGTAAACTAGCCCGATCCGTGTCCAAGGCACCGGGTTGATGTCAGGAATTCAAGCAGAATTCCTGAGATAGAGCTGCGATGCAGCTGTGGAAACTAAGAACAAGAGGGAGAAGGGTAGGAGAGAAAGGAGAGGAGAGAGAGTGATGACTTGAGGAGGAAAAATCAATTCTGTTATTTCTCTTGATGCCTCTGCAATTGCAGAGAGCTCATTATATAGAAATGAACTACACGATCACTAACTGGCTTAACTGACTGACATGTTGACATCATCTGACTCAGCACTTTAACTACCTATAACAGCCTATAACAGAAACTGTTATTATTTATTACTATTTACAATTAAGCCCCCAAATCCTGACAATCCGTTCTCCTTATGACTAGCCTTGTTCTCAAGGCTGGAATTAAGGAAACTGGTGATTGATAACAGAGGCGTCTTCCCAAGAAGCTTCACAGGAGTCCATGTGAGACCACTTAATCAGATATTGGATCATAGGTTGATCCTTCCTAAGGACAACCCTCCTCTGTAGCACTGCCTCAGGTTCTAATATGCAGTGATCCTGCATATCAAACTCTGGTATAGTGGGGTTGGTGTGCTGATCCGGGCCAATCCTTTTCTTGAGCAAGGATATGTGAAAGACAGGATGTATCCTGGCCCCCTCAGGTAACTTAAGCCTGTATGAAACCTGACCCACCTTTTCCAAAACCTCAAAAGGGCCAAAATACTTAGCTGCTAGTTTAAGGCTCCTTCTGATGGCTAAGGACTGTTGCCTATAAGGCTGCAACTTAAGGAAAACATAATCGCCAACTGCTAGGGTCCTTTCGATTCTGTTCTGATTGGCAAAATAAGTCATTCGTTGCTGCGCCTTGTCCAATTTCTCCTTAATGGACTGAGAGATTCAAATTCTTTCCTGGACCAGGTCCTTAGCACCTGGAATAATTGTATCCTGATATGGTCCCAATGGTAAGCATGATGGTTTATATCCATAGAAAACTTCAAATGGTGTGATCTGCAGTCCAGAATGGAATGTAGTATTGTACCATAGCTCTGCTAAAGGCAACCACTTGTACCAGTGAGTAGGGTGTTCACTGGACATACACCTCAGGAAATTTTCTAAACATTGATTGAGTCTTTCTGAGTGACCGTCTATTTGGGGATGGTAGGAAGAGCTTAGGTGTAGTGCTGCTCCCATCAATCTGAATAACTCCTGCCAAAATTTGCTAGTGAAAATTTTATCTTTATCACTGACAATAGACACTGGCAGTCCATGTAGCTTGTATACATTGTCCAGGAAGAGTTGTGCAACCTGTATAGCTGTAAAAGGATGTTTGAGCACCAGAAAATGTGCATATTTTGTGAAGCGATCTATGACCACCATAATGGTATCCATTCCCTGTGACATAGGTAACTTCTCAATGAAGTCCATAGTGAGGTGGGACCATGCCTTATCAAGGATAGTCAGAGCCTGCAACAGGCCCGGGTAAGGCACATTTTCATGCTTGCACCTCTGGCACACGTCACACGTACTGACAAACTTGATCACATCTTGCTTCATTCCTTCCCAATAGAATAAGGCTTTCAACTTCTGATAAGTCCCTCTTTGGCCTGAATGTCCTCCCTGAGCAATATCATGTACTGCCTTGAGTAGGGAGCTCCTGATATCATTTGCTGACCCTACTACCAGTTTTCCCTTGTACTTAATGATGCCATCTAAGATCTAATAATCACTCCCTGTGTGTGAGTCCAGCAGGCATTGAGCTATAACAAATTGCCAGTGCTCATCCCCCTCGTAGCTCCTGCATAATTCCTCCATCCACTTGGGTTTGACTGCAGAAATTGCTAGGAAGGAGTTCTCTTGCTGGTCTTCCTGACCACAGAATGCCTTCCTAGATAGAGCATCAACAGTAGTGTTGTCACTGCCCTTCTTATACTATATCTCATAGTCCAGGCCCAATAATTTAGTCAACGACTTGTGCTGCAGGGGTGTAGTTAACTTTTGTTCTAACAAATACTTTAGTGACTGGTGATCAGTCTTAATGATGAAATGGTGTCCCACTAAATAATGCCTCCATTTGGTCACAGCTAACACCAAGGCCATTAATTCATTCTCATAGATAGATAGACCCAAATTCCTTGTTGATAGAGCCCTACTGAGGTATGCTATAGGATGAGAGTCCTGCTGCAACACTGCACCTATGCCTCCATTACTGGCATCTGTCTCAATCACAAATGGTCTCTCAAAATCTGGTAACCTGAGAACTAGTGAAGTACGCATGATCTGCTTAAGTTTCTTAAAGGCAGCATCTGCTTGTTCATCCCAGCAGAAGCTATCCTTCTTGAGTAGATCTGTCAATGGCCTGCAGATGATACCATAATGTTTGATGAATCCCCTATAGTAGCCCGTAAGGCCTAGAAAGCCCCTTAATGCCTTAACTGAGTTGGGGGTAGGCTAATCTAAAACATATTTGATCTTTCCTTCTTCCATACTCACCCCTTCTGATGAAATCATATGCCCAAGATATTCAATCTTCTGCTGAGCAAAAGAGCATTTAGACAGCTTAGCATACAGCTGATTCTCTCTCAGTACCTCCAATACCACCTCCAAATGTTTCACATGCTGATCCAGATCTTTGCTGTAGACCAGTATGTCATCGAAAAATATTAACACAAACTTGCGCAGATAAGGTTGAAAAACCTGATTCATTAATGCTTGGAAGGTGGCTGGAGCATTTGTCAGCCCAAAAGCATAACTAGAAATTCATAATGCCCTTCATGAGTTTGAAAAGCAGTCTTGTGCACATCTTGGACTTTAACTCTAACCTGGTGATACCCTGGCCTCAGGTCTATTTTGGAATGGTATTTGGATCCACATAACTCAGCTATCAGCTCCTCAATATTAGGGATGGGATACTTGTCCTTAACAGTCAATTTATTCAGGTGCCTATAATCAACACAAAACGCCAAGTACCATCTTTCTTTTGACCAGCAACACAGGTGAAGCATAGGGACTATTACTATGCTTAATGATTCCATTGTCTAGCATTTCCACAACTTGCTTTTCTATCTCAGTTTTTTGTGAGTGAGGGCACCTGTAAGGCTTGATTTTGAAGGCCTGAGCATCTGACTTGAGGGGTATGGCATGGTCCAGACTTCTCTCTGGTGGTAAGCCGGTAGGTGCTGCAAACACATCCTTGTACTTGTCCAACAACTCCTTGACTTCAATAGGTGTCTCAGCATCTGATTTTTCCTTTGAATTCCCTGAAATATACTGTAATAGCTATGTTTGTAATTAATGAAGTCCCTCAGGTCCTTGTTTCTCAACAGATTGAGCTCAGCTTCTGCTACACATCCCTGCAGGATAATTTCTTCTGCTTCGCTATGAATAGCTATATTTAGCTTGTGGAAGTCAAATGTGATGGGGCTATAATGAGCCATCCAATCCATTCCTAAAATCAAATCCGATCCTCCTAGCTCCATGATCCTCTTGTCAAAACAGAACTCTGTGATTATTAGTGGACCAAAGCACCTTCGAACTCTTAGTGCATCCTGATATCATTGAGCCATCCCTAATGACTACTGTGAAAGGAGTGGTGACCAAATATGGTAATTCTAGAGCTTTAACCAGATGGTGGCTAATGTAGGTGTCTGAACTATCTGTGTCCATCAGAATGTGTATGGAACTCCCTTGATTTCTCCCCTGAGAGTGATTGTTTTCCTCTTCAGTGCCTCAGAAAGTGCATGGAGCGATACCTCCATCAATTCTCCAGGGTTGCCTGTCTTTTCATCTTGCTCCCTTACAGCATCCAAGAATTCTTCTTCATCTTCCCGTCGACTATCATCATGTTCAGTTGTCTATTCTTGCATTGGTGTCCTACTCCAAAACGTTCACCACACTTGAAGCACAGTCCATTATTCCTTCTAAATTGTATTTCTTGTGCAATATTTTCCTGATTGGTGTAGCTGAACTAGTCTCCCCTTTGATTACATTAGTCGGTGGAATTTTATAGGCATTTGGAACAGCTGTAGTACCTTTGTATAAGCCAGACTTTGGATCAACAGGTGACTTTGTTAATTGTTTAGCAGATTTCTGCTGCAACCTCCAGGCTTCTTCCTGCAGTCTGGCTAAATCCATAGCATCTGACACTCTGTTTGGCTTCAACATTTTTACCATAGTCTTAATTTCATCTCGCAATCCACTAATGAAACTTGAAATGAAATATGATTCGGATAGGTGAGGATTTTTTACTAGCATCAACGATTTTAATTCCTCAAACCTTTCCTGGTAGTCCTCCACTGTTCCTACTTGCTGCAGCTTGTTGAAATCTTCAACTACATCCCGAGCTCCTTTTTCTGCGAATCTCTCATCGAGCAGTTCAGTGAATTGTTGCCAAGATAACTCTAGAAATTCCATCTTGATGCCTTGATACCATACATCCGCCTTACTGTCCAAAAACATCTCAACTACTTCCATTTGCTGGTCTGGAGGAATTTGGTAGGTGAGGAAATATTTCTGGCATTTACGAAGCCAAATGCGTGGATTTTCTCCAGTGAAGAGGGGTAACTCAATTTTCGGGGGATTTGGTAAGAATACCTTGGAAGGCTTGGCTCTGGAGCACTGATTAACACCAAGCTCAGACTGGAGCTTCGTGTGTGCTGGGGGCGTTGGTAGAATTGGAGTTTTTTCTGACTGTACTGCCTCATCTCTTTCCAATTGCTTCTCTCTGGCCATAATTTGGATCAATGCGTTGAGCTTCTGGTCCATGCCTGAGATCAATGCCCTCATTTCCTGGTTCGAATTCTCCATCTCTCCCGTAATTGCTGTTGGACTTCTTGTTGATTCTGTTGGAGAGAGAAAATTGCTTGCAGAGCTTCCTGCAGTCGTACTTCCTGTTTCTTCAATTGATCTTCCATATTCTTGAATCGTGTGCCTTCCACCATTGTTAATAGTTGCAATCAGTCCGAGAATCGTTGCTCTGGTACCAATTGTCAGGAATTCAAGCAGAATTCCTGAGATAGAGCTGCGCGATGCAGCTGTGGAAACTAAGAACAAGAGGGAGAAGGGTAGGAGAGAGAGTGATGACTTGAGGAGGAAGAATCAATTCTGTTATTTTTCTTGATACCTCTGCAATTGCAGAGAGCACATTATATAGAAATGAACTACACGATCACTAACTGGCTTAACTGACTGACATGCTGATGTCATCTGACTCAGCACTTTAACTACCTATAACAGCCTATAACAGAAACTGTTATTATTTATTACTATTTACAATTAAGCCCCCAAATCCTGACAGTTGACTTGTTCAACCACCAAGTCGGTCTGTCAGTCACAGCAGTCCTCTCTATTTGCTGTCTCCCGGACTTCAATTTGAACCTTCCGAAGACACTTCCAGTCTTCCACGTTCAAAATGGCTTCTCAAGACCACAATTTCCACCAGGGACATCACCACCACCACCACCATGACCATCACCACCATAACCCTCCCATGAGTAATTTCTTTCTTTTTTTCACTTAACTCAATATTCAATTCAAAGTTCGTCTAAATATTTCTTTGCTTTCTAAAATTTGATTGACACATGCAACAGGGATTCGGAAGCAACATCTTGGATAGGCCCAGATGGGAGGAAGTACCATAGCCATGACGGATTGGCACCTCATTCCCACGAACCCATTTACTCGCCTGGCTACTTTAGCCGAAGGGCACGCCCACTTTCTAACAGGGATTTCAATGAGAGAGCCTTCACTGTTGGTATTGGTGGCCCTGTTGGTAACTGGGTGAGAACCCTCTAACTTTCCATCAAGTTTATTTCCACTTCTTTATCAAGCTATTGGTACTTCTTCGTTGTGTCTCTTAGAGGTCAATTCTTTCGCTCTCTGCTCTCTTTTGGGTGTTATGAGATTCTTTTGTTCAATTCAACTATGTGTTTTTCATTACTACTTGTTTAGAGTTAACAGCATATTCAACAGATTAATTAGCTTCATATATGTTTTTATAGTAGGGATATATGGGAAGTATTGGACTTAGAAGATATTTAAAAAATATTGTTGTTGATTCAGTTTACAAAGATAAATGGCTTGGAAAGATTAAGGTATTTGGTAGATTAAGAAGCCAGCCAGATGGTAAAATTATGGAGCACCATTTCTTCTGGATATCTTATAGGAGTTATGCTGTCACATTTTTTGTTATTTTTTTATGATTATTAAGAGATTAAAGAGGGAGTATATATTGTCCATGTCCTCAAACAGTTCCACAGAACTAAAGGGATCTAACCAGTTGTGGATTGCATATGAACTGTCTATGTGAGTGATGGAGCTCTAGTAGATGGCACACAAATATTTGGTGTTCAAGTTCTTTCCTTGTTCTGCGTCTCTGATAGTAATGCAAAAGTATCTTAATCACATTTGCATAGTTGCGTGTGGTTGCTGGACTATCCTTTTCAAGCTGTGGATTGATGAACTTTCTTGTATATACAATCTTCTTTTTTTCGTATTCTCCATGCTTTGTGACATCTTATGAGTCCATGATGGATGTGAACCTTGGAATCTCCCAACCTTCAGTGCAATCATCCAAAGAAAAGGAAACAAGTGATGGTTCTGATATCTGACGTGACTATTTCTATTTCTTGCAGTTTTTTGCCTGTACTAAATAGAGAGTATTGTGTGAGTTTGACCGTGATGTCTTGTTATGCTCTTTGGATTTAGTTTCAGTCTTGATGAATTTTTGCTTACTCTTCAGGAAACAGCTTTAATGCTGGCCCTCTGTAAGTTCTTGAGGGATAAGTACAGTCTTGCTGCTGTAAGTAACAATTCAAATTTTGGGATTTTAGTTTACTAACATGTAAATGATAGAGAATGATAAAGATCCCCTCAGCTTTCCTTGGAGCATTTTGATGACTTTTTTGCTTGTTTGTTGTGAATATCACAAGTATTATAATTCTTCCTGTACGGGAAAACTTTTTGAAACTTCTGCTTCAATATCATATCACGGATAATGTAAATTTTTTCAGAGAACACACTTGTTTTTATTAACAGCAATGAAGATTTATTGGTTTTGTCTTGCAATAATTAGGCAAGGATATTCATGAACTGTTGGAAAATATACAAATAACATGTTGACAAGGCTGTATGCATTAAAACATCTTGGTTCTATGTTGCTATTATCTTGTCTTAAAAGTGTTGAGTTTTTGTTTACGGGTTTTTCCAATTGTTTCGGTTGGAGGATGGAAAATTTATGTGGATTAAGTCTTCAAGTGTGAGACATCCAGAGACATGCAAATAATGCGTTATGGGTTTCATTTCTAGTCCTGCACAGACATGCTGGAAAAACCTAATCCTAGAATGGTGGATAGCTGACAAATTTTGTGGCAAAATGTTTCAATCTTACAAATCTATTTATGTTTGAGCATTGAAGCTTATACATGTTAATGATTTTGTAACTTGCATATGGTATATATTTGACTTGACATACTGCAGTCAGTTACTAAAACTCAAGGTGCACGAGCAACTACTTTTCCCTGCTTGTTATTTGATTAGTTCATTTATTTTTTCAACTATGATATTGTCTAACGTTATTCAACCTCTTCTATTTAGAAGTCAAAAAAGTTAAAATGGCAACTTAGCATGTATTTCCTGTTATATTGTTAGTGCTGTAAAGTGTCCTTATGAACCATCCTATTTACTTTGCCAGAAACTACCTTCCATAGAATAAACTATAGAAGATTCATATTATGTATTTGACTCAGATTTGGTGTTTCCAAAAAGCTGAAAACCTTTGTCAGGTTCTATTTTTGTGAGGATGCTTATGACCAATTTGTTTAGGCTATTTCTCGAGTTTGCTTTTTTCTCCCTCCTATTGCTTGGGCAATTAGAGTTTCTGCTTCCTGTTTTGCTTTGATGCAATGTGGCACCCTTTCAACTGTATGTGAAAATTAATGCAAATGATCTTCTCTCATCCTCACTTTCTTGAACTGCACTGGGAAAAAAATGAAATATGGCTATGACACTTTTAGGTTACTAATGACATATTCACGAAAGAGGATGGGGAGTTTCTGATAAAGCATGGGCACTTCCTGAAGATAGGATTCGTGCGGTAGAAACAGGAGGCTGCCCGCATGCTGCAATTCGGGAAGATATCAGCATTAATCTTGGTCCTCTTGAGGAGCTTTCTAACTTGTTCAAAGCAGACATTCTTCTTTGTGAATCTGGTGGAGGTAATTGGTATACCAAATATCTACGATAGAGGTTTTTAATTTTATATATGTCATATAATCTGGGAAGTCACTTGAAACATAATGACCAGAAAGTCTGTTGGAAGAAATTTTCTAATTCAATTTTTGCTGAGTTTAGTAGGTTGGCTATTTCTCTGTTGCGTAACCAACAGATAACAGTTCTATCAACAAGTCAAATATAGAGCATCTTGCCATAGAATCCAGTAATCTTAAACTGTCAGCTTTAATTTTTTTTTTGAAGCGGCATTAATCATGCTTTGCCAATTTTCTTTTATCTTTATGGTGCAGACAATCTGGCTGCCAACTTCAGCAGAGAACTGGCTGACTATATTATTTATATTATTGATGTATCTGGTGGTGATAAAATACCTCGAAAAGGAGGTCCAGGCATTACACAGGCCGACCTTCTTGTACGTAATTGAGGTTGCTATATTA